GGACTTAGTGATAGCAAAAAAGAAACAATTATCAAAATTAAAAAAACAGCCATCGCAGATTTATTAATTTAAGAAATCTGTTTTTAATTGCAGTATGTGAAAAATTTTAGAACGTTCGCGAAAGAGACTTCCATTCTAAATGGCAAAGAATCCAAAATTTTCGAAAACTCAGAAATGTTTTATGTTGAAGAAGCATCTAAAAATGAACTATTATTTTAGTAATTACTACGTTGTAAACAATGTATTTAAAGAAATGACAAGAAACGACAAATAGTGTTGAAGTCCAGAGTATTCCTATGAATAATCTATCGAAAATATATTCTGCAGAATATCTTTGCTTCTGATGAAGAGAGACCTGTACTTTTTCTCGTTCGAAATCAATAGAGATCTTGTTAAAAATCTACGCCAAACACAAGGTTGTAGCTTTGCATATTTATATTTTTTACTCTAACGCCTTTCTCTTTTCTTTTGCTGTAAATGTGTTGAAGGTTACACTAAAGTTCCTGAACGAAGACCTGAAATGCTGCTGACGAAATGTCATGTTTAGTCCCAAAGCAAAACTTCCAGACCATTTCACTTTAAAGCTTCCAACGAAACCGTTTCCCTTAATATTAATGCACGAACAACATCATACAAATTTGAATGTTTTGCTGGTGCTTTGCATATTTATTATACCAAAGAAATATGAGTTACAAAAGTGTTTAAAAAACCAATTTGCCAGCTTAAAGCCGCCAGAACTGGAATTAGGGTATACACAAAACTCTTCTTTTCACACGATTTTCAAATAACGAGGTTCACCAATTAGACCAAACGCTTTTTATTCTAGCACTCCAAAAGGTTTTTTTTAACTCTAATTTTGACAGAGGGCTCAGAAATCGGTCGACTTATACCCACACGTGTTGGCGACTTGGTCTGCAAAATCAAAGAATTTATAAAGTTAAGAATGTATGTATGTATGTATGTATGTATTTGATTATGGCAAAGCACACTAGGGCTATCTGCCTAAGAGGACGGATGCCTTCGTGGAGGACTTTCTAAGGGAAACTGACTCGTATACACGTTACACATGGGGAAAACCACGAAAACGCCCATGTAGCCAGCCCGTTTGCGGGATTTGAACCCCGGACCGAACTACCAGTGTTCAGCTACTTTACCGCTCGGCCGCTGGGGGGCCTAAAGTTAAGAATGAAAGTTTCGCTAAAGCAGGAGTGGCTCCACCACACCGAAGAGTGGCATCAATCCAGTCTTATCCGCATGAGCGAAATAGCTGTCGAGCAGATGATGAAGGTCGAAGGTAACGTTTATCGAGTTCAAATTTCTGGCACTATTTTTTTCCATCCAATCCACGTAAATTAAATCCCTGATCAAACGGCGATATGGATCAATCAACAGCAAATGCAAACTATTCGATTAATTTTTATTCTTATTTTCAATTTAAATTTTTACGTGTACTTATGAAGCGAATTTTCACTATACCGTATACACCTGAAATTATTTTGTAATAAAAATGACATTTTTGTTTTATAAATATGTAATATGGCTTTGATTATTACTTTTTTGTATGGTTCTTCGGGAAGATCTCTAGAACTTTTCGTCTTACACGATTTTATAACTTGTGAATATATATGCCCAAATTTACTATAGGGCGCATATATTTTTTACGCGATATTTTTTTACGGTTTCCTTAGGAACGTATCTACCGTGTAAAAAAGAGTTGCGTGTGTATTTTAATTGCCAAACTAAAATGAAAGAACAGAAACTTGTTTGCCGTATTCTTTCGTTTTTGTTTGCAATTTCATTTTTTGATTAATATAAATATACAGCCTTTTATGTAAAATTCAGTATCTTTTCTTATATAATTAGATATAAGCAATATGTGGATTTTACGTTTTGTTACATTATTATGGAAACAAATAAGAAGAATTTCAAAATCATTTTAATATTTCTCTACATACGTCAGAAATTAATGTAAAATAAAAGAAGTACATTTACTAATATTTCTATTTTTCTTTCTGTTGTCTCTTGTATTATACCTTTCGAAATAGTTTCAATAACGCTTAAAACGGCTATGTTGAAAAATATAAAATTGATACAATCATTTAATATGTTTGTAAGGTAATGATTATAAATACGTTAAATATGTGTAACATATATAATTATATTACATTATTTTATTGTTATTAATATTAAAATATATGATATAATATTATTGGGCTAAACATAATATATTCGTCACTTAAATTATTACCTATACACATAAAAGTCCTGTAATAGGCAGACGATATAACCATAACAACACTAACGGGTGCCTGCGCCCCATACTCTGAACCTGGTAAGCCATCTTAAACCATTAACATAGACCAAAAATAGCCACTGGCTTAAATTCATTATATCTCTGAATGTAATATGCACAAAATTCCAAAACTCACACGAATTAATACAATAATTCCACGAAAGATTTCAGAAGACTCTGCAGTAAGTAACGCTTTCCGTCTGCTCAATAGGTTTCGGCGTATAAGATGTTAGTAACCAACATGGATGAAACTATAGGATGTAAATCTCCAAAGTTTGGAGAACCTTTTACATTTATAGAATAAGAGGATGAAAAATATCGTCTGATGGCAACAATTGTTATAATATAAATTAAAAACATAGAATTCTAAACTATTATTAAATGTATAGAGTTTTATTGTATGTGCAACAAATAAAAATAAATTTTGATTAAAAAATTAAAAATAAATCTTTGTGTAAAAAACCTTTCAATCCATTTGTCAATTAAACTCACATATAGTTGGAACAACCCAACAATGGGAAGCATGATCTGAACATTACATAAATAATAAAAACATACGTAAATAACAGTAATAAATTTCATTTAATGCTAATAATAAATTACATTTACACTTTGCTTCATATTACAAAAGGAAAAGGGACATCTATAAATTTTTAGTGAGTGCTTCCCAAAAGTTCATAAACAAAGTGCAGAACGATTTATCACAGCAAATTAACTATCCGTACCATGCAGGTACATATAATTTAAATCAGAAATTTACAGATTAATAAAAGATATTAAAACTGAATGTACCAGCCTGCTAATTAATAAATCTTACAAATGGCGCTTTTCCTTTCATAGTTTAATTCCTTTACTTTGTATTTCTTCGCATAAGTAATACATATTTCGAAAATTACCAATTATGAAATTAAAGAATTTAGCTCTGATAACTTTAAAATACGTTTGTGATAATTTAATAACAAACTTCTAAAGGATGGAAATGTGGCTTACACACTGCAACAACTGGCAAATTTATAGTGTTACTTGAAATCAAATTATGCATTTCCGCTTGTGTTCACTATTTTGTGTGAACAGGCTTCAAATTAAAGCCGACTGCATCTTAAAAAAAAACGATCCATTATTATACCATTATGTCCAATTGTCTACCACTTTCTTCTTGCATAATTGTGATATAAAGATTTTCAAGAAAATCTTAGTAATATCTAACATTGCACAGTCTTTACGTACCTAGTTTTAATAAAATAAGACTACTAAGCTACCGCTGCCGCTTTCAGGCAAAGTGGTGGCTTTGAAATATATTGTAGATCACTCTATGCTCTTCTTTAGTGTTATAGTTGTAACACGTTTTTGCTTCCTGAAATATCTGAAATCAATATTTAGAACATCTGATGCTCGTATATATTATACTTCCTCCGTCCCAAATTAGTTGCTACACTCAGGTTGAAAAAGTTTGGTCTTAAATTAGATTGTTACATTTCAAGTAGGTGGAGTCATAAATAACTCTCGATTCAGTTAGTAGATCGACAGCAGTAAAACTTATACAGTGTACTACAATGAATACAACACTGTAACTAGGTTTTTTATTCTCAGTTTTTACTTTCCACAAATGTAGCACATCATTTGGAGCGGGGACTTGGTGGATGAAGGTTCGCCGTCAGAGATTGCGCCTGCCACTCAGATCTGGTTCTGCGTGTACGTCCGTCTAAAGTGGTTTGCCTGAGCGAACACGTGCAATTGAAAATCTGACTGCATCAGCATTTTTAATGCTATTTTGTGGTTTGTATGATTTGTGAAATGCTGAAATGCTTTCCCTAATTGCTTATTTTCGATTATTTTTGGATTATTGAGTTTAATTATGAAATTAATTACTGCGTATCTTGCCAAATAGCCTGATTGCTGGTTTATGTTTTTTTTTCTGCCATTTTACGTTAATTTACGCAAACTGATCGATTTAAAAAATTAATTAGATAAATTTTATCAGTTTTTGCGCGTCTGATTTTGGATTTGATAGCGCACGTAGTTACCCCAAAGCTTTCGCTTCAGGTGATTGTCAGTGTCCATGCTCTCATGAAGGTTAAAGAATGTCTCCTACAAAACAGATTGTCCGGTCATCACACCGCATTCATCTCAGTCTATCTCAAAAGTGCCTTTGACACGTTGTGGTGGTCGGCAATCCTACGGGCACTAAGGAACTCACGCTGTCCACGCAATATCTATCGGACACTAGAGAACTATCTCGCAGAACGAAAACTAATTCTGCAGCAAAATAGTGGCATACTACAAAATAATCAAACAAGGGGATGTCCACAGGGTTCCTGCGCGGGACCTTTCCTATGGAACTTAACGTACAATAGTATACTTACACAGCCGTGGCCAAGTCACACGAAAATAGTTGCATATGCCGATGGCACGGCACTAATAGTACAAGGCCCCACTAGAGAGCAATTGCAGAGAAACTGCCAAGAATCCTGCGACCTCTTTGAGGCGCTGAAGTTGAAGATTGCCGAAGAAAAATCCCAAGTTTTATTGATTCTAAAAAAAGGGAGGCTCCCTAACACGACAACCACGCATCACGCTCAATGGGAAACGACTTGCAATCAAGCGAGAACTCAAATACTTGGGAATAATATTTGATGACGAACTGAATTGGATAGCGCATGTGCTCTCCCTAAAACAGCGCACAGCAAGCATCGCTCAGCAGCTCAAGATGATGAAAGGATATCGCTTGGGTCTCAACCCCAATATCCTCAAGATCCTCTATAACACCGTCACTGAGAAAATCGTGACATATAGAGCAGCTGCCTGGGCCCTACCGATGCAGGGCAGAAAAGTAAAGCATTTGCAAAGCATCCAACGGTCATTTTTATTAATATCACGAGAGCCTTTTAGACCTTTTCCGACCAATGCACTGGCAGTCCTGGCTGGCATACTACCCTTGTCCATTAGTGTCGAGAAGGAAGCTACGTACCAGATAGTCAAGCAACTCGGCCAAACAACGCAATTTGGGGAAGAGGTGTTTACTGCAGATAACCTCGAAAGAGCAGTCATCAGCCTTGACAGGCACCCGTCTTTGCAAGGACGGGGTGTTAATGTCAACCTAAAGCAGAACACAAGATCCACGAACATAGATGTTACCTATTATACGGATGGATCTAAAATAGACGACAGTGTGGGCTGTGCATATGCAGCACTTAAAGAGGGTAGAATAGTAAGCCAATGGAAGGGGCATTTGGAAGCGCACAATAATGTCTTCCAAAGCGAGGCCACAGCTATAAGCTATGCACTGCAAGTGATAATTCAGCAGAGGCTATACAAAAGTTACATAATAACAGACAGCCTGTCTACGTTATACGCCATCCTTAACCCCACTCACAGTTCTCCAATAATAGCAGCCATTCTGGAATACCTCCGTGCTCATAAAGAATTAAAAATTAATCTAGAATGGACGAAAGCCCATATCGGGAATCATGGTAATGAGACTGCAGATCGGCTGGCAAAAGAAGCAGCTCATAACGTCGAAGCAGTCCCAGTACAAATCCCATTGCCGGTTTCTCATTTAAAACGGAATCTGCGCGCCACAGCTCTAGCCCTCTGGCAGGCTGCGTGAAACAACGAAGACACAGGCCGCCGAGGGCATACATTTCTGCCTAAAGTGGATAGGGAAAGTGCATGTAAATAACTAATAACCGCACGGCCACAAATGGTGTACTACATCACAGGGCATGGGCCCTTTCCAGTATATTTTGAGAGATTTGGAATCTCCAATTCGGATCAATGCTGCTGCGACGATCTGGGCACAGCAGAACACTTCGTTCATGAATGTCCTCTCACGGAGGGAATGCACATTTCGTTCCCGCAGACGAACAGGGAGGCATTCAACAGATTTATGGTCAAGCAGCGACACCAGACCAACAAAATTACTCATATTGTTGATAAGCTAATGGACATGGGTCCAGACTTATGCCATGTGTAAATATAACTGGTCAGTATGTCAGCTAATTTCAATGTAAATCAGTATCATTCAAGCATAAGTAATCTAGATATGTCTGCGATGTGTGTATATAGTGTGGGCAAGTGTGTCCTAATGTATGTTATTATTATTATTATTATTATTATTTTATTTTATTTTATTTTATTTTTATTTTTATTTTTATTGTGATAGGTGTATATACTAGCTCTGTCTTATTATTCCAAAGCAAATTAAGTAGTATTAAGTAGTAATGTAGGTATTTAGAAAGTATATGTATGTAACAGTGCTGGATTGCATGTCAGCAAATATGCATTAACAGAAGCATGTAAATAACTAATAATGTATATCTGCCCTTGTTTAGCCATGTACAATGCTATTCTTGAAGATTCAAAAATCACTGGACCCGGGTACTTTGGACGGGTGTCTAACCGGTGGCATTTGGTTCGCGGAACTGCCAACCGGATGGTCCAGGCGTTGGGTTTTGGCGCCTTGTGCAAGCCTCCCATGTGGCCTCTCTGGCTTTACTCTGTATAAGGGCGGACGTGGCCCTATATGCTAATTAACTTAATAGTAAAGGGTGGTGGCCACGTCCTCCGTCACTATCACTATCACTATACATCCGAATGTGGAGAAGGCTGTCGCGCCAGGGCTCCATTCCGGGGTGTAGGACTCCTGCTTTATGGGCGCTGGATTTCTGGATTTTTATGCGTTTTGCTTCTGCTTAGCGCGACCATGGAGAGGCTCGTAGAAAATTACAAGTTACAAATACAAGAGTTGGAGCAACTCAAATTGGATAAAGGTGAACTTACAGAAATTGAAGCTAAATTCTTAAACTTTTTGTTAAGTTCATTAGAAATTGTCAATGTACTAATTAATCAAAGTAAAACTGATTCAGTTTTAAATCATGACATAGCACAACCACAAATTCCATCTACAAGTAAAAGCTATGAGGATAATGAGAGGGCAAGAAGCCCAATTAGTTTACATGACAATACAACTACCACTGATGATGAAAAAACACTAGATAAAGATTCCAGCTCAGAAGACAACTTCCCACAACGTTTTGGAGGCAAAACAGTCCGAACAAGAAATCCCAGACAGGGTATAAAGAAGATTAAATTAGATAATTATACACAAATCATTTCTCCAGTCATAATTAATAAGGATAACATTGGTACTACTGTGCCGCAGGAAAACACACAAAATACCAATCAAGAATCAGTTATTCCTGAACAACACACTACCTCTGATAATACAGATATGGATACAACTAATGCTGAAGATCAGCAAAATATCACGAATGATAATAATGCACAGGATAATACACCTAAAAGGAATAAATTACCTCCAATAATTCTCAAAGAAACACAATTCAAATATAAGGCGTTAACAGGGTTACGCCATTAACATAAATATAAGTTCATAGGACAGAACATTAAAGATGGTGTAAAATTTATAACTTCAGATCCCGAAAGTTATAAAGGAATTGTTAGGATTTTAAAAGAGATGACAGTGGAGCACCATTCATATATTTTGCCAGAGGGTAAGAAAAGTAGTAATTAATGGGCTACTTCTCACGACTGAAATTGAGGAAATTAAGGAAAATTTAACAAAAATTATCAGGTTCTCGAAATCAAACAAATGTCACGACGTAGGGGCGGGGAAGTTCAGAAACTCCCATTATACCTCGTTACCTTACCTAAAAATGAAAACTCAGAACAAATCTATCATGAACGCTATTTATGCGACCTCAGAGTCAAAATTGTAGAATACAGAGGCCGACAAGGACCATTACAATGTTTTAGATGCCAGGGTTTTGGCCATACTCAGGCGGGTTGTAATTACGAACCAAAATGTGTCAGATGCAGTAAAAATCATTACATAAAAGATTGTTCTGACAAGAATAAAAAAGATGTTACCTTAGTTTGTGTAAAATGCGGTGGCAACCACACATCAAGTTTCAAAGGGTGTGAAAAATTCCCCAAAATTAAGACAGAAAAGCCTAAAACTTTCTCTAATAGAATAGTTGAAGGCAAATCTTTCGCAGCAGCACTTTCAACAGGTATCTACACAGATACAATTAATGAGGACAAAAACGTTTTTACAGATCTCGAGCTGAACTAGTTTCAGCAATAAAATCCGCTGGTTTTTTCCAGCTTACACATCAAGTTAAGGACTTGAACAGAAATAATCAGGAAAGCATTCAACCCAACATTACTGATAATGGGCCCACACAGAATTAATAGAGCCTCCTATCCAATCATGATTTGGAATGCTCGTAGCATACTTAATAAAATCCAGGAGTTTCATAACTTCTTACTTACATATGATATTGATGTTGCATTAGTCACCGAAACGTTTGCGACTCCATGCTTCAATATTAAGATCGCAAACTACAATTGTTACAGATGTGACAGACTGAGTCACCGAGGTGGGGGGGTCGCTATTTACGTAAAGCACTCTTACAATCATGTCTGATAAGCGAAGATAGAGGAAATGGCTACGAAGCTGTTACAGCTTCTGTTTTGTTACCACATTATGGCATAGTATATTTTATTGCATTGTACAATCCTCCTAAGATTCCTATAGATGAGCATAAACTCGCACAGTTACTGCCCAATTTTGAACATATCATTTTAGCTGGCGATCTTAACGCGAAGAATGTAGAATGGGGCTGCAGGCGCACCAATAGAAACGGAGAACTCTTATTTGACTTCATTAATAATTATCCCATTTATTTTTATGCTCCTGCTGAATATTCTTATCTTCCTGATGATCCAAGGAAAGGAGACATCCTCGATGTTATTCTTACCACCTCTTCAATCCCGATTTACTTAGAAGTGAAAGTTGAATTGACCTCAGATCACGTACCAGTTTTAGCTACGTTTGGTACGAATAAAAACACTGACGAAAAAGTTCAAAATAACTACTGACTGGAATAGTTATCATAACCACCTCGTTGAAATTCCTCCGGCTATTAAGCACCTTAAAACGAAATTTGATATAGATTATGCAATTGATGTTCTCAACAATAGCATCCTAAGTGCATATAACAGGGCCACTAAGAAAATTCCTGCTGATAAGTACAGCTGCTAGACTGCCAAGTAGCATTAGAAACATGATTACACAAAGAAATAAACTACGCAAAAGATGGCACATTGCTTGAGACCCTAGAGTTAAGAAAGACTTAAACAATCTCAATAGAGAAATTTAAAAAATGTATTCATAGACACAGAGAGGAGACTTGGAACGCAAAAATAGAAACTTTCAATGAAGCCGAATAACACATTCTGGTCATTTGCACGAAATCTTCGCGGCAAAAAGCCGAACAATAAACCGATTTACGGGGACAACAATATTGCCGTCACGAATAAAGACAAAGCCAATGTAATGGCTGAATACTTAGAAAAACAATTTGTTCCAAATCAAGATCCGAGTGACCCTTTATTTTCATATGACATGAGATACTTTATACAAGATTGGATTAGCGGCCCGTCCGCCGAAAATAAAACAAATTATACTTCACCTAAGGAAGTTAGAGAGATTATTAAAAGGATGAAAAATAGAAAAGTTCCCGGTTTTGATAATATTACAAACGTCGCTATCAAAAACATGCCCATTAATGTCATCACGAAATATGTTAGTATTTTAAATGCATGCCTGGAGAGAAATTATTTCCCTGATAAATGGAAAAAAGCTAAGGTAATTTTGTTACCGAAGCCAGGAAAAAATGCTACTTCCCCGGAAGGTTATAGACCCATAAGTTTACTGCCCGGACTGGGCAAAATTTTTGAACGTGTTATTTATAAAAGAATTGAGCCCTACATGGAAAAGATACCACCTGAACAGTTCGGCTTCCGAAAGAATCTCTCAACGACCAAACAACTTGTCCGACTTTGTGAATATATTGGCTCTGCACTTTTGCAAACATCAGAGTGTCGCCTTACTCAGGCTAGACGTGGCGAAAGCTTTCGACCGCGTCTGGCATGAGGGGCTTATTTTCAAGCTTATCTCCCTGGACTTTGATTTTGAGAGATTTGATTTTGCTTATCTATTCGTTTATCAAAAATAAATTTTTTTTTGTCAATATTGGAAATGATAACTCTGATCCCAGAAGGCTTAACGCTGGAGTAGCACAAGGGTCAATTTTGGGGCCTATTTTATTTTTATTCTATGTTGCGGATTTTCCAAAAATCTGCACAGACCCAAATTTTTATTTAGGATGCTACGCCAATGACACGGCTCTTGCATATAAGTCACATAACCAGGAACTTGCCATTTCCAAACTTCCAGAGAAAATACCAGAAATTGAGCACTGGTGCACGAAATGGTTTATAGCCATCAACGCACAAAAATCTCATTATTATTGGGGAAAGACACTCTAGAAGTCCTTTTGAAAATAAACTAAAAGTCTTTAATGTTGAAGTCCCGATTGTAAATAAGGCTACCTACCTGGGAATTGTTTTAAATAATAAATTTACATGGAAAGATCATATCCAGAAAGTCACAGGTAAGACTGTAGCTGCCATTAGAGATCTTATTCCATTAATCGGAAGAAATTCAAAACTTGATTTACGAAGAAAAAGGCATATTTATACTGCCATTATTGGACCTATCTTTTCTTACGCGTCTCCTGC